GCGCGGCGGCAGCGGGAGGCCCCATTAGCTAAAGTGGTACCTCAGGTTAAGAACAGTTTCAGGTTTAGAACGGACCTCCAGAACGAATTAGGTTCTTAACCCGAGGTACCACTGTACTTGCAACGTGTGCAAAATTCAGTCCCGGTGTGACGCATTCCCAGGTTAGTGTGCATAGGAGCCTTAGTACATCTTGTATCTCCTTGATTTCCAAAGTACATTAATAGATGCTTGATGTCCTTGAGTATGGGAGGGAAGTCCTCCTGTATCGATTCATATAGGTCATCTACAAACCAGATATAAATTAAACAAGGGAATAAAAGATTTAAAGGGAGACTAAGGGATTAAACCTGGAAAGAAGTCAGGCACTACAGAGGGAAAATGGATGCTCTGGCAGAGCTTCTGCATTGCATTTCATGATGAGATAGTGGGAACTGTGCATCCACACGCTGCAGAGCTGCAAGGGCCTGGGTGATATGCCTGATTGGTTTATAAATAGAACACAGATGCATTTTCTGAAGAACATTACTTAGCAGGTGCTAATGGGACACTTCTATAATTAATGGTCCGGGCTGCACAAAGGGCATGGGGAAAACAAATGGAACGCTGCCTTAGGGCCTAGCTAGGGACAGAAGACACCGCAGCAAGGAACAAAGCGTGAGAGAGGGATGTGAACACTGCTTGGCGCCTTTACGGCTGGCATAACCAGCAGGCAAGACTGCAGAGCTCAGAGATCTTAATGGTATTTCAAAAGCTCTATATTTTGGCCATCTGTGGTTTTTTGTTGGGGAGTTTTTGGGTGCAGATTCTGCACAAATAATCTCCACATGCAATGAGCAGTGTGAAATTTTCTTGTTTTGTCAGATCGTTCTTAATAAAAGATAAAGCTCCTCTCATGCTACGCTACCAGTCAAACCACAGAGTGTGGTGGTGCTCTCAACAAGCTATTCCCTACTGATGTTAACAGCAAGACAGGGTTGTTCCTTCAGATATTTGGATCCTCCGCCATTTTGTTTGTTAGCAAATGGCAACATGCCAATTATGTTTCTGCAGCAGTATTTTAGGGCCTGTGGTTCATATGGAAGACACTTAACTATGTTACAGCTGGTTTCAAGTATACGGCTGTCTGATCTACAGTACTGGGAACAGCTTCATGTAAGCTAGGGGAAATGAAGTCGAAAGCATGTCAGCAACACATATAAGGCAACCTGTGTATTCAGGGTCACTCTGATGCATGCTGGAGTCAGGATTATCATGCTCATTCAGAATGCTAAAGTCAAAGGCCAGGGGTTGACTAGACAAATGAGAATCAGGCAGTACTAGATAGTTACTACTAAAGTGATACAAGTTGTCACGATCCGTATGAGTACCTGCTCAGTATATGAAGGTTTGGAGTCTGTGATGGATTGGTGGTGATAGAGGTTTTTCTTACTGGCAGACTCCCTTTGTGAAGAAGAGGTCCCTTTTAAAAGAATGTCAGTAGGCTGCCACCAGACAGGATAAACATGTAGCCCCACCCTCTGGTTTGTCTAACTGCTTGGGGGACTTTCTGCTCCCCTACCTCCAGCCCAGCTCTTGGAGGAAAAAAAAATGCTTTGGATTTGTTCTCCCAAAGGACACAGAACTTAATACGCCCCCCCCCCAGTCTCTGGGACATTTTTTTAATTATTATTTTTTTACTTCTAAACAAAGTTTCTTAAAAAAATAACAACAAAGCAGCGGATCAGTCCTGCTTTGTGGCAATGCAAGGCAGAAATCAGGCTGTGAACAGGGTGAGATTCTGACTGGATACCAGGGAAACTAAGGCAATATAGTCATGTTGTTGTTGTTTAGTCGTTTAGTTGTTTCCGACTCTTCGTGACCCCATGGACCACAGCACACCAGGCACTCCTGTCTTCCACTGCCTCCCGCAGTTTGGTCAAACTCATGTTTATAGCTTTGAGAACACTGTCCAACCATCTCAAATACAGTCATACCTCGGGTTAAAGTCGCTTCAAGTTGAGCATTTTCAGGTTGCGCTCTGCAGCGACCTGGAAGTAATGGAACAGGTTACTTCTGTGTTTCACCACCCGCGCATGCGCAGACGCTCAAATGACATCATGCGCATGTGCAGAAGCGGTGAATCGTGACCCGCAGACGCGGGTTGCGTTCTGCTCAGGATGTGAACGGGGCTCCGGAAAGGATCCCATTTGCATCCAGAGGTACCACTGTACAAAGTAGGGAAGGGCTCAGGCTTTGCTCAGGAAACACAGAATTCCCATGTTGCTTCAGCAAGGACGAAACTGAGACTTAGCCCTAAATAGTAGCAGCCCTATATAGTAGCAGCTGTATCCTGATTGTTAGCCCCCCCCCCCAATATTGGAAGATGCTGCTTTGCTTAAAGGCGCAGTAGTCTCCTAGTATGGTGGACCCTCTGGTCTCACTGCGTCTTCAGTGAAATTCTCTGCATCTACGAATGGCAGTGTCACAGCCTCTCGTGATGTTGCTGTGCTTCTAGGGCTGGCTCTGCATGGCTTTCTGCTTTTGGATCAGAGTCCCCAGCTCCATCACCCAAAGAGGAATCTGTCTCCTGGCCCCTGACAAAACCAACAGATGAATGTACAAACCTTTGCTTGATCCTTTTCATTGTCGTTTTACATGCCTTCTGACATCTGATCTGGATGCTGCCATTAGCGCAGAACGAGTGAGATCTGCCTGCAAATAACCGCTCTGCCCAGAGGTGTGCCCACTTGCTGCCAGAACAAGTTCAAAGTGTTACTGTTAGCATTTCATGGATCAAAACAGAACGGGGCCTACATCTGAGTAGCTGGGCATAGGATTGCACTGCCAATTAAAAAGCAGATAACTTCAGAGTGGCAGGAGGGAGACTAGTTACGAAGGGGCAGGGCAAGGCGAGAATTATTGATTGATGATTTTTAATTATAAGCCACCTTTCATCAAAGAATCACAGGGCGAATTACAAAACATGACAGAGAGGAGATTGCTGTCAGTTCATCCTACTTAAATCTCTCAGCATACTTCTCTCTCTCTCTCTCTCTCCCCCCTCCCTCTCCCTCTCGCTATCTCTCTCTTGGCAAGGTGAAACATTGAAAATGACTTCCTTGTTGATAAGTCCTAGTGGTTCACTCCTTATCAGTGCTCACTCTAAGAGCTCCTTTTTCAGAAAAAACGGAAAGGATCAGCAGTCACTCCTGTGAGTTCTCAGTTGTAGGTGAGAAGGGTGGGCTACTGACGATAAGAGCTTTTCCGGCACGTGGGTTTAAAAATGATTCAGGTGTTTGGAACGAGGTGAAAGCAAGTAGCCAGCCATGCTGCTGAGGGGGGTTCTTATGAACAACACCATGTAAATCTAGAACACAAATCCTGGATGGAAAATAAATACTTGCTTAGTTATTCACACAGTGGTGTTCACTGCTGGGAAAAAAAAAGACTTTCTCCTCTCAAATATATTTAATTTTATTTTCCCTTTCAGCTAAAAATGGGCTCCCAAGGTGACCCACTGAAATTAAAATGCAATACAAAACACAATGAAGACCTGGGAAGCATGTGTGTATTGTATAAGTGAACCAAAATGACCAGCATTAAATCTGGCTGCTCTTTGGGGTGGGGAATCAAGGAATATGGCAGACAGGACCCAAATTAGTTTTAAACAAGGGCAGAGGAAGAAGGATCTATATCAGGGATGGGGAAGCTTTTTGAACCTGAGGACCACATTCCCTTCTGGAAACCTTTCAAAAGTCACATGCCAGTGATAGGCAGGGCTAGAGGCAAAAGCGAGATGAGCGAAACATGCAAATTTGCCTTTGAACATTAAGCTAGTTTCGCCACACTCTCGTATACCCATCTCTATCTTTCATCTGGACAAGCAAGTTCAGTGACATGCACCAACCAGGCCAAAATGCTTGGGGTATGAAGCAAGGAAGGCTGTTGCCTGTGGAGAGGAGGTGCAGCCTCAGAAGAATTCTGAGGGCCGGACAGAAATGTATGGAGGGCCGCACCTGCTCCCCAAGCCTGCGGTTCCCCACCTCTGGTCTATATGGAGCCTTAAGGCTTAAAATGGAAGATCTCTGTTCTCTGACATCTTTCATCTATGAATTTCTGCACCTCTGGTCTCTATGGAGGCAGGAAAGACACAGTGCAAAGAGGCCAGGATATGGTTTAGTTGCACTACATGTTATGGAGGGGAAGAAGGGGACTCAGCAAAGAGGCCACCATCTCCACCAGTAGCTCCTTGTAACGTTTGGTTCCAACCTTAATTAGACTGCAAATTTTCAGCACTGTTCTGGATTCAGATTGCTGAAATATCCACAGAGGGCAGAGCAGTAAATGAAAAATATACAATAGGATGCAGTTTATTAGGAAGACAAAGCTGGAGATGACAGATTATTACTACATTTGCACCCCACCTTTCTTCAGAAGAGCAGAAGGTGGCATAGATGATTCTCCCCTCTTCACTTTGTCTTCATAACAACCTTATGAGGTTGGATGCACTGAGATACAGTAACTGTTCCATGGTCACCCAGTGAGCTTCAGGGAGATAGGTTTTTGAGAGCAGGTAGATGGAAAGAGTCAGTTGGAATGATGCTGGTTAGCATTGCCAAGTGGTTGCAAGGCTAGCGCCACAATCTGGATCCCAAGTAACTTAAACAGTATCAAGAGTGTGGAGCACCCAGATCTTCCATGCCGCAAATCGCCCTGGCATGCTGTTTCTGCATAGCTATCTGGGGGAGAGAAGACGCAGGCTTCTGTTGAGCCGTAAGCAGATCCTACCACATGTAGGATGCTCATGCACTTAAAACAAACATTCCATCTTTCAGAGTTGTGAGGTTTTAATGATGCACTTAGTTGACCTCCTCCTCCTTGCTTTTTACAAATAAAAATTATGCTGATTGCAGTATACATGAGGTTATCTGAGGAGAGGGTTTGTGGGAAAGTAACATTTCTGCCAACAAAACCGTGCTTGCTTTGTTCTGAAAGCTTAAGATGTCAACATTTGCTCCTAGGTGATTGTGAAAACAAGAACAGAATATCAACCAGACCAGAAGAACAAAGGAAAACTCAGAGTGCCCAAAATTGCTGAATTCACAGTCAGTTTCACTGATGGTGTAACAGAAAGATTAAAGGTAAGAAATGCTAATTGCTAACTGGCTATATTCAGCGCTAATTACCACGGAATAATTAATAGATGACAGTTGCCTTGATTCTGGTTTTAAAATAGCACAACTTGGTCCCATAGTCCATTATGTTGGGGTCATGGGATTAGAATTCTCAACGTGATTTTGTTCTTTGGATTTATTATTATTTTCTTACATTTATATCCCACTTTACTTCCATTGTGGAACCCAAGGCAGTGTACATGGAGGGTTCTCAGGTGGCCACTCTTCCAGGCACCAGCCAGACCTGCTCTTCTTTAGCTTCAGCTTCAAGTTGTCAGCCTTAAGCCCCTACTCCAAGACCTAGGCAGGGACTAGGTAAAGGTAAAGGTACCCCTGCCCGTACGGGCCAGTCGTGACCGACTCTGGGGTTGCGTGCTCATCTCACTTAAGAGGCCGGGAGCCAGCGCTGTCCGAAGACACTTCCAGGTCACGTGGCCAGGCAGGGACTACAGCTGCACAAAAGCAGCTGTGGGGTGGGGAGGAGATTGGATCAGTCATGACATGGGGGAAAGGGGTTCAGCCCACCCCCCCCCATACTGTGGTCCCAGCTGCTAGCTCCCTCCAGCTGCTGCTAGTCACAGAAGGGGGAGAATATGAGCACAAAAATGTTTTGTGTAGGGCAAGGGAGAGGAGAATTGACCCTTCTCCCCTTGTATTGCAACCCTGATCCAGATTACCCCTCCCTTTGGCTGCTTTTAGAGGACCAAACTGACATTGGAAGCAAGCAAGGATCTTGTGGCACATTAAAGACTAGCACATTCGTGATGATATAAGCCTTTGTGGACCACAACTCGCATTAACAGATACATTGCAAGATCCAGTCCCAGAACTCCAACATAACATGACGTGTGGCCCTCAGTGCTGGTCCAAGGTGTTTGATTTTGCTGCCCTTCCCAAACATGGAAAGTGAAAGGTACTTGGCTTTCACAACACACTTCCAGAATTATTTTTTTTCGTGAAAGAGCCAGACATTAGCTCTAATGTCGATCTTACAGATGCTTTTCAGAGCAGGTGGTTGAGTGATCCAGTGAGGAAACTGTGTGTGAAGGTCGGGGTGGGCCTTTTTAAATGGCTAGGGAGCAAAACCAATCGAAGCCTGCAGGCTCAATTGGTCCTGCCCCCTGAGGAGCGCCTGCCCCAGAAGCTGCCTGCCATTGGCCAATTTGGCAGGTGGGATCAATTCTCCTGACTGGCAAAGAAGCCCGTTTTTGACCCCTGCCAACCAAGAGAAGAGTCTGCACAACCCTCCTCTGCTGGGTCAGTGTTCGGGGTGGCCAGTGGCCAGCCTGCAATGCTGTTTGTAGCTTTAAAGTGGTAAGCAGACTTCTCTGACTTCCTCTATGCCAGTGATGGCCAAACTCGGCCCTCCAGCTGCTTTGGGAATACAATTCCCATCATCCTTGACCACTGGTCCTGTTAGCTAGGGATGATGGGAGTTGTAGTCCCCAAACAGCCGGAGGGCCAAGTTTGGCCATCACTGCTCTATGCTATGCCATAATCAATACTAAAACTGTAAAGCTGTGCCAGAGCAAAGAAGGTTCCCCAATTATCCTGGTGCTGCTGCAGATGATGTCATAATTCCTGCTCTGGGAAAAAACACCCTGGAATTGCACTTCCTTGCATTCCACCTCCCCTGCACTGCTGCTGAGATCAACGAAGCATCAGATTGACTACAGAAAGGAGTTCTCCCTTTGCTTTTTTATGAGTGCAGTGGTAGAATCAACTATTTCCCCTCCTCAACCTGACAGTTTCATTTCCAAGCCCTTTCCTTTCTCCATAGTCCATATGATTTCTATTCCATGCCTCTCAGTGTCACTTATTAATCGCCCATCATAGCAACTGCCAGCAGATAAGGTTGTAAGCTTCTCCTGCCTGTTTTTCATAAGGCTCACATGCACCATATTAAGTCTGCGGTATTATTTCCTGACCAAAATGAGCTGAGATAATAGATTATATTTTATTGCCTTCTGTACTTCTCCTGTACTGAACCCAGTGCATATTTTAGGCAAGTTATTAAATATACCTCCCTCTGGTTATGTGCATATCTATTATCTAGAGCTGATGAAATCATCTTGCATTTGTGTTTTTGTAGCGGGAAGGAAAAGAGTAAAATGCTTAAGTTTTATTAACTCAGCTTTTGGCGATGGGTAGATAGATATAGTCGTAGAGACATTACAAATGTGATCATCATATTTTCTGTTGCTGGGTGGATGCTCTCTCAATGGCCCTCCAGTGAGCAATGTACTAGAAATTTCATTTTCACCTTCCTGTAATATTACAGTAAAATATGAAACGCTTATACATACACAGAGGCCATGCCTTCATCTTCTCTAAATTGGAGTATGATTTGGCTCTATAGATATTTTCTAGGCCAAATGAGCCATCATCCCATTGACTGGAATAGGAGTGACAATAATCCAAGCTTTCTAGAGAGATCCCTGAGTGAAGGGGGGGGGAAAGAGATTTTTCTCTTAAAGTTCACAATGATATGATTTTGAATTTGATTAGGGGTGCAATTCCGGACATATTTTACTGAGAAACACCCCCCACACCCCATGCTTAATGGAACTTACAAGTAGGAGTGTATGGAACGGCATCCTTAGTTATGCTTACGTGCAGCTCTAAATCATTTCCAGCTCTTGTAAGAGAATCCTGAAAGACAGTGTCAGTAGAAGATAAAAAAGGAAGGGACTTGCTTCTGGCTTTTCCTGCCATGCCATTGCCAAGTGAGCAATACCACTTCAGGGGATCAGTGATGTAGGAACACTGCAAAGTCTGCCTCTTCTCCGTTACCATGAAGGGAAAGGAGCAGCTGACATTGCTTCACCTCTTCCTGATGAGCTGTTGAAGCCTTTCCCACTCCCTCTCTTGAGAGAATGGTTGCCAGGGTTCTCTGCACTCTGCAAAATATTCTGCACCAAGAAAAGCTGCATTCAAGCCTGTCTGAAATATGCAAATCAAGACAAATGTTCAAATTTGCTTATTTTGCATAATGTGCTGCGGTGTTGTTATCAGGGCGGAAGGGCAGGAACTCTGGAGGGTATTCATGCTCCCCTGACTCCTGGAGTTCTTTTCCAAGCTCCCTGTGCCTCTGGGCCTTCAGAAATTTCAGCTGATGGTACGTATGCATTGTCAAGCATATCTCTGCTTTCAGAAGCATGCCGTTTTTCAAAAAACCCAAACCTGAGGCTTTGCACTCACTATTACAGGGTGTGCTTCATGTGCACGTTTCATGGTATAGACACTCCCTTAACCATTGCCTTCAAACAGCCTGACATACAAGAATGGCTATATCTTTTATTTAGAAAACTCTACCCTTCGCAGAAGTGAAGACAGAAATCCCAAGTAAAGCTACCAAAGCAATAACATGAGAACCAAAAGTCTCTGAGAGTCTTTCATGGCTAAGAACGGCAGTTGTAGAAGCGGAAGTAGGTTTCATGCATTCCCAGAATGCAAATTGGCACCTTCATTATATCTCAGTCTGTTGGCTCTGCTGGAAGAAGAGCTTGCGGAAGCTAGGGAGGCAAAGCGAGAGGGTGTTTGCTTTCCAGTTGGTTTTCTTCCAAGTGTTTTGTGTCCAGCTTTTAAAATAAGTTTATATGGTTTAGATAAAAAGAACACCAACAATAAAAACACACTTATTTGTATTAAGAGCATAGCAGCTTTTAAAACCAACATAAACTGATTGTCCAGAAAGAGAGAATTCTATAGCTGTGGTGCTACCACTGAGAAGGCCCTGCCACTGGTCTTCCCCTCCTTGAATCTCTGCTAAAGATGGGCCAGAGAAAAGGGCCTGTGACCCTAATCTTAAGATTGGCTGGTTCACAGGGGCAAAGCTGGTCCTTAAGCTAATCTGACCTCAGGCTATTCAGGCCTCTAATTGTTAAAACTTAAGACCAACATTCACATTGACCCTGGAAACAAACTGATAACCAATGTAATTAGTGCAAGATTGATGTCATGTGCTTCAACGGCCTTTTCCCTACCAGCATTCTGGAGGCCCCCTTTTATACCACTGTCTTTAAAGGCGGTCCTGCAATGGTCCAGTCTGGATGTACATGGGCAGAACAAAACATTACAAGAAGCGTGAGATCGCTGCTGGAACTGGCAGCTCTGTGTCAAATTCTTTCCTCCCTGCTCCACAGCACCTAGTGCAACTTGCCTTGATGTCCTTACGCCATGTGCTTTCTCGTCTCCACATCATTGGTTGCCCCTACTGGGGGCAAGGAAATAAGCAGCAGCATCACTCAAGGACATGGGCCAAATTGCAGTAGAAATTACAAAGAGGGAGAGGAGAGAGACTAGCAAAGGGCTGTTTTCAGTAGCATCCCTTCCCCACCTCCGACTCCTGTTCCAGGACTAGAAAGATAAAATGGCAAGAAGGAAGTTTTGCTTTTCCCGGGAGGGTGGCTTCACCCTTGCAGGAAATTTCAGAACTGCATGTGCTTGGTAGGTAGCGCTGAAGATGACCTCTATTCTATGCCCAGTGGCGATCATTTATTGAACAAGCTAATGAATGATTAGACATCCTTCTATCACGAAGAGGCTGGAGCTTTCCATAGAAGGGAAGCTTACGCAACTGCATCTGTCATCCATCTAGGATAGCACTGATATGATCTCTTTAATTGTGGTAGCATCTGACAGGAGCTGTTGTCCCTAGGCAACTGCTGTTCGCTCACTCTTCCTCTTGCTGAAATCCTGTGTAATTTCTGCTGCTTGTCACTTTTGAAATATGATACTATATTTTTCTTGTAGCTCAGCTCAATTACAGAGCATCCCGGAACTTTGACCAATTACTCTGCAACTGCATGACTCATCTTGTACATACATTATGACAAACATCATTGCTACTCTGCGTAGGTGGAGTACAAGAAAATGATGTTAAAATGACATTAAGGCCCAGCCACCAATGCCCCAAAGTAATTTCTTTCATTGCCGAGTTTGCCCTGCAGAAAGGCATGTCAAAA